CTCTCTCTCTCTCTCTCTCTCTCTCTCTCTCTTTCTTTCTGAGGCCTAAAAATAGTGAGCAATTCTGGGAAACAAAATAATTTACAGCGAAAAACATGTTATTTGTGATTATTATGTAGAATAGAGTTGTAAAATATAATTAGAGACCTCCACTGCTCCGCACAATTGCTAACGCATTACTAAAGCATTGATTAGTATTTAATTAAATATATTTTTTGCTTTAGAAAAAAACTAAATCAATTGTTAATTTTTATTTTGTTTAATTAAATGCTGAAAATTCAATATTATTTTGTCGATTCGCTGGGGATTTAATAAATTATTTATATTTTTTATAATGCAATTCAATATATTGTGCGTGTAATGTATGGCACATTATATACCTGTATATGGTATTGTATATAACCTTACAATATAGTTATTCACAGTATGTTGTATATGCAGGTATACACAGGTATATACTGTACGTTATATCGGGTACAAGAAAAAAAGCATAAATGTAATATTAACGTCACCAGAGATACAATCTATTGATAGATAACTAATTACATAAAAGAATTTTATTCAATACGTGTTTTTGGATTTTAATATATGTTTTATATATAAAATATATTTGTATTTCATTTCAAAAGACGTTTTTCTTAACTTTATTTGAATAAAAGAAATATAATATTAGAAAATAAATGTAATATAAAAACTGTATGATTGCATTGTGTATGGGATTTGCACTTTTCCAATGCATACACATATATTTCAATATAATATTAGATATTTTGGGTGAAAAGTAAATTGAAATATATTTTTATTATTAATTTTTGATTGAATTCTCGGAAAATAATAGGCGAAGCGTTAGAAAAACTAAATATAAATGCCAATTGAATTTTCAATAATAAAGTTATAAATATTTTTCTCGTTTAGCATATAATCGATTGAATAGTTAACGAAAGAAATAAAAATAATAATTTAAATTTTATTTCAAGACATTGTGTACACAATTGACAGACAGTTAGACTGACAGTCAGACCCGTTATAGAGAAGTTCTATCACTATATTTACCTAAAACTGTCACAAAATAAAAATAAATTTTAGCCAAAACACGATTAAAATAAATATTTTTCAGTAAGATTTCAAAAATATATACTGTATATAAATACAAATAAAAAATTATTTTTAATTCAAAATTTTCACAAATCTTGATAATTATTATATTAAAAAATCCAAACATTGATTACTTAATAATATGTACACTATTTCCTGTTCATTATAAACAGCACGACTGCCTGTCTTTCAAATGTGTGTTTGTATTTGTTTTATAAATTAATATAATGTATAAAATATTGTGAAGAAATTATATATACGAAGAAAATTATATTTTTTTATTTGCCATTTCTTTGAACGTTAAATACATACGCCTCCAGATATTTATCGATTTTCTCAGAGCACCCAAAACCCACACACCTTATGAGAGAGAGAGAGAGAAAGAGAGAGAGAGATTTGAATGACATACACACTTAATATAACAAATATTATATACAGTATATTCATTGTATGCAAAGATTGAATGGCACTTAAAATTTGAAAATAAAATTTTGATGTATTTTCGGCTAAACAATATGTCTCTTTGATGTTTATCTACTCTCTCTCTCTCCTCAATAATATTTGAAAACAATGAATAGACAAGTTGTTAATTCTCTCTCTCTCTCTCTCTCTCTCTCTCTCTCTCGCACTTCACAAACCCATATCAAGTAATCGATTGTTAATCTAATGTAATATTTTGTTTCGTTTTCAATGCAATTCTCTGTGTGTTTATTGTATTTGATTTTTATTGTTGCATATCTTTTATTAGTCCCACTTATGTTGACTTACATTAAATGTATTATTGAATTATATATATATTGTAAATCTTTATGTATTTCTCATCTCCTGTGCCCCAAAAACATGATAATAACACATATATTAATCTCTCGTATGATTTGATTTCCAGACGACCACACGATTGTAAAACTGGGATTCAAAGCCGATTCCGTCGGTTCCGACTATATTAACGCCAACTTCATTAGTGTATGCCTTATATTATAATACTATTATTATTATTATTAGATTACATTCATCAATTCTTAGTACAGTATAATTAAGTTACAAATATAGATTTAATACTATTCTACATCTAATGCACGACAAAAAACACAATTGAATTTTTATACATATTTTACTAAATTTTTATGAAAACTTTTTACGTTATTTTTTTAAACAAAACAATAGGGCTTTCACTCGGACGAGGAGTATATTGCATGTCAGGCACCCCTACACTCCACTGTCAATGACTTTTTCCGCATGGTCATCGAGCATAACGTAATGATCGTGGTCACACTTACACAGTGTATTGAAAAGGGCAGGGTAGGTTTTATTCATGTGTATTTTTACCATTAATTATGTATGTTTATAACTGTTTATATAAAAAATTAATTTATGATGACACCTTGGGTGCGGTTAAGGTCGTATAAAAAAGTGATCATAAACCATTACCTTAATGTAGTTAATTTATCATGTATTATACAGTAATTTTAATGTGCAAGGTGGCAATTGATACAAACTGGTGTATATCCTATTTCAGTGTATACCAGTTCATTCACAGTATCTCCTGAATTAACTGCCATAAAGGAGGATGTGCATATCTGTAATGGGGATTGATAAAATCTGTAATGGGGATATAGGTTAGTTTGTTTTAAGAAATTTTTTACAAATTAAAAGCAATTTGTTGTATGATATTAAACTACGTCAAATATGGAATAAATTGCTCTTCTCCATATGATCATCCGACGTCGGGTTCAGCCGCAGTGACCACTTTTAGCAAGAATTTTAACTTATCAAATACTGACATATTATATATGAAATCAATGTAGAATTTAACGCAGAAGTAGAATATCGTAATAACATCTCGATAGGGTGCATCGATTTTATGTAATTTCAATTTATTTTTGGACCGCGATTAGTGGTGGTGACTATTAGGTCAAGAGTGCTGAAGGTGGCCTGGTAATGTGTGTGGTGTTGGCGTAAATAGAATGGGTTGAGGAATAATAAGTTATTTTACTAATTTTATCTAAAATTCAACCGTTTTAAGTAAATAACATAAAATCTACTGACACCATCGAGGTGATATTGCGATATACTAGTTCTTCATTCAATTCTACGTCGATTTCATATATCACATATTAGTCTTAGCTTAGTTGAAATTTCCAGATAAAAGTGGTCTGACGCCGGCTTGGGCTCCACCGAGTCGATATACCTCATATAGTCCCCTGAGGAATAAGCTACATGTAAGTACAATAATCCAGTTTAGGGCTAACGGTCGCCCCCGACTAAACCTGTAGGAGGAAATATGTTAATATTTTTTATTAATTATAAATCATCCTGATAATTATTCTCATGTGTATGTTGGTTAGATGGACTATTAATTTGTAGTTAATGAATATTCTAGGCTATGAAATATGATGTTATAAAATAATTATTGATTAGATTTTAATGGCTTTTATTCAAATATTTACCTTAAAAATGATAAATTATTATATGTTGTAAAATATTAAATATATGAAGAATGAGAACATATAAACATTTTAAAAATAAATTTAAGAATATTCTATTCTTTACTTATTATGCAGAATATTCTGGTATATAATCAATTTAATAACTAGTTATATATATATATATATATTAAATATTTCATAAATAGTCAAAATGCGAGAAGTATTGGCCGAGTTATGATGACATAGAAGACAACGATATGGTCAGACCGGGCGGTGCGGACATCGATAGCGGCACCGGTGGCCACAAAGAGAGCCCGCAGTTAACCTTCGGTGACATAACCGTTGAATTGGTGTCCGAACGCATGGAAGGAGAGTTCATTATACGGGAGCTAAAGCTTATAAAAGTCAGTACACTATGTAAAAAAACAAATTAAAACTACTGTATATAAAAAAATTTTTTGAAGTAACAAACAAGGATCACACAGCGATGCTATACGTTAACCACTATTCGGGAAATGCATCAAAGATTTTAAATTTATCAATACTATTGTTAGAATACTTTCACTATTATTATTATTTTGAGAATTTTAAATGTTTTTGACAACAATTAGTTCTATTTATTATGGCAGATTCATTTATAATCCCATTGCCCCATTGATATACCATTACCCATGTTATCCAGATGCCATAGACTTATCATTGTCCATAGACTTAGCATTACCCATGTTATCCCTATCGCATACAGTGTTGAACACATCGATAGTTAGGTCTTTGGGCACCTGAACCCCACCCCCGCTATCGGGGCAATGCTTTAACATCTCCATAATCCGGTCCACG